GTTGGACTGTCATTGTTAATGATATCATCACTGCTACGCCTGCTACTACTAGTACCACAAAACGAGTTGGACTGTCATTGTTAATGATATCATCACTGCTACGCCTGCTACTACTAGTACCACAAAACGAGTTGGACTGTCATTGTTAATGATATCATCACTGCTACGCCTGCTACTACTAGTACCACCACACCACCACCACCACTTCTTATACCACGGACTACCACTGCCACAACTAGTATTACTGCTCATTTGATAATACTACTATTACCACTGTTACTACTACTACTGCAACTACTGTTGTCCCAGGAATGGGTGACATCTTTATGAATAATACAAATAAGTCCTGCTTTAGATGAAAATATTGTTGCTTGATAAATCATAATTAACTGATATGAATTAGAATGACAATAAAGAAGTGAATGAAAGAAAAAGGAACACTATGATAATGATGATAAACTGTATCAGAATTAAAACCGAATACGGATGATAATGCTGGTAACAGTAGTATCAGAAATGAAAACACGAAATATGGATGATGATGACATGATGATGATAAGTTGTGTCAGAAAAATCGGAACAGATGATAGTGATAATGAAAGATAATATGAAAATGAAATGAAATAAATAAAGAAACTTCACATATCTGAAAGAATTACAGCGAAAGTACCTTTTCTTCCAGTTAATTAATTAGTTGATATTGTTACAAGTAATGCTTTGAAAAAATGCAAAGATTTATCAATACAAGAAAAGCTATTAAATTCAAATTGGTTAATAAACTGGCCCTCTCAAGTTCTCATCAAATTTTATTGAATTTAAAGTCGGCGGTTTAACGGTCTTGATTGACCCTTCCCAACTAAATCTTCCAAGTCCTTTCTTTACTTTTCTACCGCTACTGATTCATTATCTCTCTTTTTTCTATAAGTTTATCATTTATTTTATTTAGTCCCGTAATAAGTGAAACTCTTCCATGATGAATCTTATTTCCTTCGTCAAATAGACAATCTTCTTCATACAAGTAATTTCCTTATAATGAAACGTTAATCTTCCATCCATCCATCATCTTTTCCTGAACGTAACAATCCTTTTCATTCTATCTCCAAATTTCATCCAACACTATTTCTCAAATTTATTATTTTTGTTT